TTTTCAAAGGAAACACTAATGAAGTTCTCCCCTGAAAGGTGGTTGCGACAATCATTGGCTTTCAAAGGAAAATGAGTACTTTTTAACTACTTTTAATCTTGAAATCTGCGAGAAATTATCGATTCAGTAAAATTCTGGGCCAGTCTATTAAATATTACTGCAGTAAACCATCCTTTAACACTGACTAATTAAATCTGTGTGGACGAGTTTCCTTGATTTTAGAAACTTTTACTACGTAAACGATAAATCATTGACCAAATAACGACAAATCTTAAAACGCTTTGGCAAGAAATCAAGAAGGTGGGACTGAATAACAACTAACGTTGACCACAATCTAGGTAATACGACATTACATTCTACATTAATGGAGTCCACTTGCTCTTCAAAACACTCCCAATAATGATTCAAGCATATAAATACAACTCCATAGGCAACATGTTAAACGATTTGTGTATTTGACACGTCAGAAATTTTAAATTTACCTCCTTACTGTGAATCCCAGTGTACCAGCCTGAACGCAATAGACTTATAATAATAAGTGTTAGGTTAAACTTAAGAGAGACCTCAAATAACCGCACTTACTATATACTTTACCGCTTAATAACCTTATCAGTACTCTGCTTAGCGTGTAAGTACTGACGAACGAAATCAAAGTAAAAAGACTTGAGACGGGAAGTGTTTCTGGGACGGAGTTGTATTTTACACAAATGAAATATCAATTTTGATAAATAAAGATGTTATACAACTTATCTTATGCCTCGACTGGGTGGTAAGCTCAAAGAGTCCGCTGAAAGAAAGCACAACAAGGGTGCGAATCAAGAACGTACAGTCGCGTCGCAAATCAAAAGATGAAGTAGTGGTAAAATTGGGTGAATGCGTTGAAACAAGAGTTCGAAAGTTCAGGGTACGCTACATCGTCACTTATTTTAAACGAAGCTGTTATCTCATATTTCTTAAGATATACACTGATAAGTTAAGAAAAGACTTCAAAAACACTAGTTAATAAATAAAGTTACTTTATAATCCTTCAAGATAACAGATAGAATTTTCTGAACACTATAACACCTCATGTCAGTCTCTGCAGTGAGTTACAATGAATGAAGTTCACTAGCATGACACTTCCACAATCAGGAAACAGAAGGACTGAGCGAATAAATATTTATTTTTCAATTAGATCCTCATCTTTGGCTCAACTCTAATATATATAGCATTTTTATTACAATACACAAAAATATACCAATCAAGTGGCGATATGTTTGTTAATAATAATTAGTCAGTGTCAACATGTCAATGGGGTGATAATTAAGGAAGAAAATTTATACATACAATTAAAAGATAGAAACTTCCACAATTACTCAAACTACTGACAATACACAGCTACCAAAAACTGTATTAACACTCATGTGAAGACGTAAAAGGCTGTTTAGTGACAAATTCGTTTCTTGTTTTCTATTCCATTACAATTTTGTTACTATGTTGACTAACGAAAATTAGTCAAGTATGTTTTTAAAGAATTGAGCAAAGTCCAATTAATCAGAAGTTTTGACTTCTGTAAAATAATAAGTAAACTAGTATATAACTCTGTTTAAAGCTGATCTTTACATCATTGATTCATTTTGTGGTATAATGTGGTGAATAAAACTCAGATTAGGTGCAGAGTATTAGGTGATGAGGATAAATTAATCGACAAAATTGTGAAGTTACATTGGTTGAAATGGCCAGGATATGTGTTCCGCATGCCCAGCTATCCCTTTCTTTAACGAGTAATATTAACCGACATTGGATTAGGTTGGAAAAGGGTTAGGCGTGGTCATAGCAAAACCTGGTATCAGTCAATCAGTAGTTTGACAGTCGGTTTGAACCAGCGACGTAGGGATGTGTCGACTGCCTAGTTGGGATCCTCGGAATACTAAGAACCAGTGGTTGGAGACTTTTGGTAATATAGCTCAAAATCGTTCTCACTGGTGCAGATGTATTCACTGCATTCTCCCCCCCCCCTCCACTAAAACGTCATGTTCTTCCATGTTCCTAGCCTCCTTCCTCACATTTCTACTTATAATAATAACCATGTCTTTAGTCTGATTTTTGTTCCCTTTTTTGTCTAAACTTGTGTGATACATCGATTGTAGCAACTTAAACTGCTGCACTTTTGGACAAAGTCCAATGCTGAAATTCAGTCATTTATCTTATGAATTCTACAATTTCTAATTTTTAGGTACATATTTAGGTAGTGGCTAACCGTAAGATTTTGTATGTGCATTTCACCAACCAGATATGACCACAAACAAGTGATTTTCTCAGAAAGATTCTGCATAAGTACTAGTTGTTCGAAAAGCCAAAACTTTGCGATGGGTATATCTTATTCCAAAAAAGTATTAGTCTGCTGATGAATTATTTCACCATTCCTATAGATAGTATGCAGAGATGAAATGACTGATCACTGTTAGGATTTGAATTTATTCAACAATATGTATAGTAAGACTTTGGTTACATATTTACTAGCATGTTCGTCGGTGGCACAGAGGTACAGTGCTCGCCGGGATTCGATCCCCGGCCACCAGCGCACTCCTTTACCTCACTAAGTCGGTGATAATATACGGGTAAAGAGAGAAAATTTGGTATGAAGAGGCTAGCAACCCCATCCTGTAAAAATAAACACCACTGCTACCGAAACTTCAAGCCTTTAGCTTGAAGCTCTATATTCCACTGGGAAAGTAAAGGAATCAATAATAATAATATTTACTAGCATAACGTAATGGAATCTACAGTGATTAGTGAACAACATTCTAGTATTTGCGATGACAAGCACTTGTTCCATAGGGGGGGGGACACAAGCACTCACTTGTATGCAGAATAAAGTGAAATGTACATCCTTGATTTTATCGCTACCAACTATCAAACAACTAATCACAATATGTCTATGAACAAAACAAGGGTCTGTTTAAGACGGATTCCTTAACTCTGTCTTACATATCACCAGCAGAACAGACTGAAATTTCTATTACTGAATTTTTTTGCTGAAATTAAACTTCTGAAGAAGTTTTGACTTAATTGACCTGAAACGAGTAGTGTATTTGAACAACACACTTCGAACATTTTAATCACATCCGTAATTTTGACAATATAGGTCAAAAGGTCTAAGACCCACGATGACGTAGGAGAAGGGGGTAAAAAGTCAAAGAGTTTGTGGAGGAGGGGGTGAAAATAGTTGTTAAGTGAAGTGAACCATAAGTAAGTAAAACAATTAATTTTTGAATATATAAAACAAGTTTAAGGCATTTTTTCATAGCTTAGGCTTGAACGAGTTTAAATATACAACCCAAACCTGTTTTACTTACTGGTTTAAAGGCCTTATTCAAATCAACCCTATGATGTGTTTTGCAATAGATGAAGTTAGACAATTTCGTTTTTTCTTAAACCTCCTTAGGAATGTGTTGTGGTAGCCCTGATCCTCAGAGGGTCCTCTGTGGGTCATCCCTAAGTTTTGTTTTAATCCTTCACGTTCCCAGTGGAATATAGGGCTTCAAGCTAGTGGCTTGAAGTTTCTGTGGCAGTGTTTATTTTTACAAGATGGGGTTGCTAGCCTCATGCCCACCGTTTCCTCTTTACCAACTTTATTACTGGTTTAGCGAGATAAAAGAGTGCGTCGGCCGTGGATCGAACCCCGGACCTTGTGCATGTTCGCCGAGCGTGCTAACCACTGTGCCAGCCCTAAGTACCTACACTGATTCAATTTTTATCCTATATGCACTGTGACCTCGCATATAAATATGTGTGACAAAGTTATGTGTAATCGGGACCTCCAAAATGTGTCAAACGAATACACTACACGCTTCAGATGTTGTTCTGTTGAAATTCATAAGTGTAAACTAATCACTTTAAATTTCTGAAGTGAAACAAACATTAAGAAATAATTAAAAACAATGTCATAATGTTACGTGTGCTACTGACAAGATTTACAAGTAATATATAGACACAGATTGACAGGAAGCGGCCAAAAATTGAAATCAACATTGCAGATTAATCGTTGAAGATGTAGAAGTGTTAATTCTTCAAATCTCGGTCTAGTTTACGATGTGGACATGAAATAACCTCATAGGATAACTTTTCGTCTCATTGTTAAACTATCAGGCCAACGGCCAACCAATCAGAACAATATATTCTCTTCTGTATTTTGATTTGACACTAGTAACTAGTGTGACGTGTCTAGTCCTTTCTTTGGTGCAGACTGAATTCTATCAGTCAGGTTTGCAATGTGGCCACCATTCTAGGTAACTCGCCATTATGGTGCACATTGATTTGATGATATTAGATAGTTGGAGGCAATCGGAAGGAAACCACATCTGACCTAGGTTTCGTGCTAGTTGGCACTCATCAGCAAGGCGCATCTGCAACCTTGAAGGAACTCATGTCCCTTCTGAGATTCGAACCCGCGTCGCCCACTCAGTGCTGCAGTCAGAGACGTTACCACTGAGCTATTCGGGCTCGTCTCTGACTGCAGCACTGGGTGATGTGGGTTCGAATCTCAGAAGGGACATGAGTTCCTTCAAGGTTGCAGATACGCCTTGCTGATGATTGTCAACTAGCACGAAACCTAGGTCGAAGGCTTCCTTCCGATTGCCTCCAACCATCTATTATCATTATTCTCTTCTGACCCAGCCAACTTCTAATATGGCTAAAAATGTATAAATATGATGTTTTATGAGTTACTATAGGTCTGTTACTAATCCTCTGATCTCCCACTGCTGCAATACACCAACTACATCAAGCCTAATTCAAGTGCATATTATTTAAAAATAAGAAAATAAAACAATGAAAAGCAAGAAAATATCACTTCTTTGAGTAAGTTTATTCAGCAGGAGACAAACAAACATACGAAATACCATAAGATATGAACAAAAGGAAATAACTCTTCTCATGTTTTATGACTTACTTATATAAGCATACAGTTATCTCTGTTGAATATCATTTCTAATCTAATGTACTACAACTAGAACCCTATTTATTTCACAAACAAAAATATATCTGAATCAATGAGAACTACATGTGAAGACATTTTTTTGCAAACAACATATAGAATGAAAGAAAGGATTATAAATTTCACAAAAAAAATTTTTAAAAGTGCTTTACAACGAAGAAGAATAAAAACAAAACTATGTACATAGCATGAAACTTTGAAATAGAAATACATTTGAGAATTGTTTTTGTTTTTACTTCATGATAACTTTGGTTAAAAATTACTGCAATATTCATCATACTTTAGTCTCAGAAATCTTAATTTTTATTCGATGCCAACAATTTGTCAGTAGGCCACGTACATTCAACGAGGCTGAGCATTCTTCTGGTTGAGTATTGTAAGCACTGTCAACAGCTGAGCATACCAATTCTATTTCATGACTACCTTCTAAAATAGTAAGTCACCATCATATATATATATATGTTACAAAAACACAATTATAGGAAAAAGGAATTAAAATTTTTAATGTGAATTATATTGATCATAATTTTCAAGAGTTGTTAGTTTGTAGGGATTTGATTTGCTTCATGTTTGATTACGGTTCACTTCGTCTGTTAGAGAAGCATTGAAAATGAGTAAGTACTGAATAGCTGTTTCATCCTACTAGTTTAAGACTCTTCGTTCGTACGCACCGACTACTCCACCAGGGTTACCAGGGCCAAGGTCATTTATCACTCAGTCAACTGAGTTGGAATTCTGCGATCAGTGATGCTCACAAGTGACTGATCACAGGAAAAAGTTTCCGCGAGTTATCATGAGAAGTAGCAAACAGCTGAGCCCACCAGGTGTGAGATGTGAAAAGAACTACTCTCCGATGATATTGGCTAGTAGAGGCGGTAACAGTCGCAAATTGATAGAAGCTAGAATTTATAGGTCGTTGAATCTTGGCCCAAGTGGCTCACTGATCAACGAGCTTGGTCTCATAACCTGAAGGTCCGGGGTTCAATCCCTGGTGGTTCGTGGGCACGTATTGCTGAAGAGGCCTAAACTAGGGCGAAACAGCTCTCCAGCATTCCCTAGTTCTCTAACTGAAATCAAACAGTGATACATTATTTATTAAAGCTTTGTAGACATTTCATCGAGATTTTTTAGCCTTCCACTTGACTCCCACTTCCACTCGTTTCCTTTACAGACACGATTTGGTCTTCCAATCTTTGTTATTTGACCACAGACACTTCATTATCAGACATAGTGACATCTTTAGCACCAGCTTCATTAAACACTCACTAATTAACGCTCATATTATACGAAGTACGAGTTATGTAAAAAATTAGAAAATCCCATTCAAATTTGTAATTTGCAATCATAGACTGAAGTTCAAAATAAACAGCTTAAACGCAAACTACTAACATAAAACTATGCAAAATAAAAAGCAAAGTACAACTGCTTAGATTACAAGTGCCATTTATGCCAGTTGATAACCACGCTTTATTGTATCGTACTGCTATTTCTCAGTGATGACAGAAGTCTAATATCTTACTTCTAATCACCTGCATTTTTACTCAGTTACTCGTCTGAGACAGGAAGGTAGAATGAGCAATGTTGTTAAAGTTCTTAGGTAAGAAGTGTAACCTTATCCATAATATTGTAAGCCTTCATTGATTTTAGTTATAGGAATATGTGTTACCTCTACCACACCGATGCCTCACTCGACGAAGAGAATGTCAACTACTGTCGTTCACCTGGTCTCAGTGATATATATATATAAAAATATCACCCAAAATACAGGCCTTCACACATAAAGAGGAATGATTTAGTGATATTTTTCGATACGAAAACAAACAACATATTTAAGGAGTGGATTTAATTCATAAATACTCACCAGGGACTGGAATTTCCGCAGACCACATTGTCCAAGCCCATTGTTTCATACTACGATTTTCTGCAGGAGAATTATTCTCCAAACCGCTATCAGGATGCCCTTCTGCAGGAGGACTTACTGGTGTTAATTCAGCATCATGCCAAGACTTGCCATTATCAGTGGAAACGCGAACAGAAATAATTCCACGCCCACCTCCACTAAATGCATAGCTGACAACAAATAAGGAATAAAAGAAACTCAGCAATCGACCCTAAAGAACTGTTGGTAAACTAAAGTGTTTTCACTACAATTTGGTCAAAATACAGCATTTAGATCATTTCATTTGAGCAAGTGAAATATCTGTCATGCTTGAAAAATTGTTTATCCTACAAGGTAGAAATTCACTGACTAAAATCTGCCTCGGAAACCTACCACAACATCGTAAAATCCAAATAAACTGTTGTAAATTAATGTGTACAGAAAGTAAATATCTGGAGATAAATTAAAAATCCCTGGAAAGAACAAAAGAAATAAAACACCCTGATACTCTTAAAACATTTTTGTTTTACTAAAGCCTGATGGTAGATGTTCCCTTAGAATCCCTGTGGAATATAGGGCTTCGACAGCACAACTCCGTTCCGTTCTATCCTCTAGGGTCTTCTTTCGCTGCCCCCGCGGTTGCCTATAGTCTCTCTCCCAATCTTCTTCATGTCACTCTAGGACGTCCCACTCGTCATTTCGCATTAAGGTTCAACTCGAAGCCCAAACCTGGAGCACAATGTTGTTCGACGGTCTCCTCAGCGTGTGTCCTATTCATCTCTATTTTTTTCTACATATTTGCTGAGCAACACGCTGTTGGTTGGTTCCTTTGCAAAGTCTCTTAGAAGCAATCGACAGGAAGCCTAGGACCTAGGTTTCCTGCTTGTTGTCACTCGCCAGCAAGGTGGATCTGAAGGAACTAATGTCCCTTCTAAGATCTGAACCCTGGTCACCCGAAGCTGCATTCAAAGACGTTACAACTGAGCTATTTAAGCTCTTGACTGATCTCGTGCGGGATTGCATTGGAGAATTTTTCATAACAAAGGGTAATTAATTTAAATAACATTCTAGAAAGTAAAGCACCTTAGTTTTTTGTGAACGCAGTCACCAAAATAACATTTCCAAATAAAATAGCATCAAAATGGTGTGCAGAAAAGAGAAATGAAGATAAAACATGATAAACGCTTTTAGCACCTACCCAGATACAGTAATAGTACCAGTATTTTCTATAGTATGACCATCAGAGGGTGTACAAATGACTGATTGAACAGGATAATCTAAAATAGCTGGCAATTGACTCGTATCAGGAATATGACCATCAGCCATTGGTAGGACATATTTATAATCTCCTTGTTGCCAAAAACTTTCACTTTCATCTGTTGATAAAGTGATCTTTAAAAAAGAGAAAGAGAGAAAAATAGGTGGCGCTTTGGCAGAAGTTAGAATTCAATGGCCATTAGATTCTATTCAAGTGCCTGAATGGTCAAGGACCTCAGCTTGTAACCTGAAGATCCTGGTCTGGATCCCCAATGGTGGGGCAATGAGTGCATTCTAATGAAGAGACCCAAACTAAGACAAAACAGTACTGTCTGGGACACCGCGGTTTTCAGTTGTTCTCTGAATGGAGTTAACTAGTGATCAGATTTGAAGTAAAATAATGTCGGTAACACAGCGGTTAGGACGCTCGCCGACCATGCACATGGTCCGGGTTCGATCCCCGGCCACCGACGCACTGCTTTACCTCGCTAAGCCAGAAATAATGCTGGTGAAGAGGAAAGGTTGGGCATGAGGCTAGCAACACCATCCTGTTAAAATAAACACCACTGCTACAGAAACTTCAAGCCACTAGCTTGAAGCCCTATATTCTACTGGTAACGTGAAGAAAAAAAAAGAATACCCTTGGTGAGCGACTTATCATGACAATTTTGTAATTGAACTCACAGATTTTGATAAATACCATTATTATTCTTCAGTGAGTGGAAAGTTCAATATGGTTTATATATATGTATAAACTGTCGTGAGAAATTATATTCACACAGGATTATATAATGAAATGTTTAGTCAGTTCAGTTTGGTCAATACAAATATATTCTTTTCTTTCTCTCTCTCTCTTCATTTCAAGCAATAACAACAAAGATGGACTTGTTATTACATAGTTTGAGAATTTTATTAAAAGCTAAATCACTTTGACCACAATTTAATAGATTTGGCCATGAAAATAATTTAATAAGATGATCTAAATGTATAATAAAAAAGAGAAGGCAGAGAACAGACGTGTCTTATGTCTAATTGAACCAATTTTAAACTATTACTGTAAGCATGACATGATATTAACGGAAATAATTGCGATGACTCATTTCTTTTTTAAATGGATGAAATTATTGTGATACACACTAGTGATGTAGGTAAGTCTGTGTCTTCGAATCCGATTCGGAGGGCTCTAACTTCCAATTAGTTAGTCTTGAATTTAATCCTTATTTACTTGTAGGTTGATATCTAGAAAAGCATTATTACATCATATAGCTAGTGACTCAAAGACGTTGTACGAACATTGTATTTTTAGTGCACTTTGCCAACTCATAACAGCTTTTAGTTATCCAGTACTCCGCTAAGTTATTAAAGAATGTAATGACATACTTTTCAGTTGGAATTCCTACACAGTCATCCAACTATATTCTAACGCCTAAGCAGAACGCTTCAAATCTTCAACCTTCCTTTTATGAAATGGTTCAAGGCTTAATTTAGCCGAGTGAAAAAGTGTTCATATCGACATAAACAAATTTAGAGCAGTAACAAATCGTACAGCTATACGATAATGAAAAATATTCACTACCCAAAAAGCTACCTAGTAGACAATGAAGTATCATCGTTTTCAAAATCGAATAAGCCTATCTCTCTGCCTTTCTTGTGCAACTATGGTTCAGTGGTAAGATACTCGCCAACCACGCACGTGGTCTGGAGTCCGACTCCCGGGAAACGCACTTCTAAACCTCATCTAGCCGATAGTATGCTCTGTAAACAAAAAAGATTGTGCGTGAGACTAGTCACCTCAAAGCGACACTACAGCTATTGAAACTCCAAAGCTTGGCTCTCTGCGTCAGACTCAGAAGGCAAAGAATGAAGATAAATGAATAAGCAAAGTGGATTTAGATTACCCTCTACAAATCACGCCACAAAACGCCTGTCACTAGCAAATGTACAATTGAATACTTGATTTGTATCAACTTCGCTTTTACATCCATGATGGGTTCATTACTCAAAGTAGTCAACTGCACTTGACCATATCTATAAACATTTAGTTCAATAAATTTTTATACAACACAGGGTAAAAAAAGTCAAAGAAGCATCAAAAAGTTTATATGAAATAATTCAATTTACCTGAGACAACCATTTCACTTGACGTGCTCCAATAGAACCTGGTATTATAATTCTTAACGGGAAACCATGATCTCGAGTGAGTGGTTTTCTATTCATTTCATAGGCAACTATTATTTCCCTGTTTGGATCTAAAGCTAAATCGATCGGCAATGATGACCCAAAAACTCCACCAGTAGGATCAATATCCAACCCTATTTTAAGAAGGAATGAAATAGGGGTTTGGTTAATATCTTAATTAAAGAGGGAAGGTGTTCACAAATATTAATATGGTGACTGCAGTCTGAAATATTACTTTACTCTGATTAAAACCTCAATTAGTTAATCATTCAAAGTTTTATTTTCCACTTGACCGTGTCAAACGCTATCAGATTATTATTCCCTTGGGTTCCGCCATGTAAGTCTCAGCAGTACATCACTATTTCACCCTGTCCCTCGCAGATCTTTTCAGCTGGTTCCACCACTGTCCATAATATTTCACTTCCTTCTCACAAGACCTGCTCCATATCACCCTCGGACCCGAGCCCAATTCGTTGCTTCCCACTCGACTTCCACTCAAGAACTTGGAGTATGATGTCATTCAACTATAAAATTACAGACTTCACTAAAATGCATTTATTTTATATCAATTTGTCTAATCTATAACTTTCCTCTAATACAAATTTTATTTTGAATAGAAGTGAAATGGCAAGAGCTTAATGAACAAAATAGTTACATGGACCATGTTCATAAGAAAGATAAGCAAAACCCTTCGGGAGTTAGTAGAAGTTAATACACGGTAACCAACTGAGTTTTGTAGGTTCTTTGCTGCAGAGAGAAACGGTCTGGTATAACTAAGACTGCCAGCTTCAGTCCTAGATTTTCGCATTATCTTATGCATTCATTTTTTTAAACTACCACTTTTGTAATAAACGTAATAATTGCAAAGCAAAACTAGAAGAAAACTGTCTTGAAGAAAAAGCACACGGGTACGGAAAAATCAATCACCCAACATTGTTAAGTTCTGCACGCATGTTTTACCACATAAACCTACTTTATGAACATAAAGTCTATTCTTATGAAATTAGTTTCAACTGATTTATGTCACATAACAGAGTCAGTCAAAATTGTATGCACTGGAGGAAAAAACATATATGAAAGGAAAAGGACTAAACAATTCGGAACAAAAGAGAAATATCACACAATACAATATTAACAAGAAGAGGAATGAGAATAAAATTAGTAACTGTTACTTTTAGGAAATTCACTCCACTGAAATGAAAATGTCACTGCTACATAATGTTCAATCAAAGTATCTATTATAGACCTACAACCGGTCAGTCGTAAGTCCGAATAGCTCAGTGGTAATTTCTCTGACCGCAACACTGTGTGACACGGGTTCGAATCTTATAGGGGATATGAATTCCTTCAGATGTGCAGATATGCCTTGCTGATGAGTGGCAACTAGCACACAACCTATTTCTCAGGCTTTCTATCGATTACCTCCAACCATCTAACATCAACTAAGAGTGCACTGCAATGGCACATTGCAAACTTGACTGATAGAATTCACTCTGCACCAAGCAAAGGATTAGACACGTGACATTAGTTATTACCTAGTGTCCAATCAAAGAAAGTGTAATTCTTTGTTTATCATGAAACCATAGAGTGAAAAACAACGGGATATGTAGACATCATTTCTGTTTCACACATACATATACTTCAAGCTGTTTGATGAATTAATCGATTTGAAAAACATCCGTTTCGTCTAAATATAATGAAATAGTATGTGACAAAGTCAGCAATTCAGAGTTTGTCTTTTGTAGGAGTTTAGATTAATTTCGGTGTACATTTTGTCATGAATCGACATTCATGAGAGAATCATTGAAAAAATCAGTAGAGTACTGGACAGCTGGTTTTCAGCCTAGTTTAGGAGATTTTAGCAGTGCTCACCTATGGAAAGATACTCACCGATGGCATTGAATGGTCATAATGCTATTTTCCAAATAGACACGAGGTGGAATTCAGGGGTCGCTAAATTCCAGACCATTGGACAAATGATCAGTGGACTGGTTTCGTAACCTGAAGATCGTGGGATCACTCCCTGATGGGATCGTGGATACACACCACTGAAGATTCCAAAACTAGGATTATCTAACTGATGCTAGCTTGTACGAAATGTACACTGAATGTTGACAACAACAACAACGCTTAACAAAAGTAAAACTAGTGAATATCAGTAATCCATTAACAGTGAAGTCATATGAAACTTGTAAACCTAACAAATCATCTAGGAGGGCGGTTGATACATTTATAAAACGTTTTAGTTCCCCATAAGCTCTCAAATGTGAACTTAAATAGTTAGTAATAGGTTTCCAAAATATTTCAGTTATGGCTATAAAACTGAGTCATCTGACTACGTCTAAACTTGATTATCAGTGTGTGGATACAGTAATAATTAGAGATCTTGAACAAAGCAAGAACTACAGTTTTAGCAGAATAAAGTGGTACCATCTTTTATTTCGTTGCCTACTCGTCAGCTGCTTACAGGGCAAAGATATTATTAAATATATCTACAAAAACAATTTTAACATACTTGCACAGAGTTCATTTTAAACAAAAATCAATCGATCAATATACGCATACACTAATAATATATACATATATATGCAATATTAAACATTATTCAGAACAATAATAATCATACACAATGGAAACATATCAGCATTTCGCATTCGGATGAAATACAGATGAAAAATATCCAGTTACCAGAGCAAAAAAAGACTGATAACCGCTTCTTTCTGGACGCATAAATCAGGTTTCAGGCGCTTGATGGAAATGGCTTCAGCAAACCTGAGGCGAATTGAACTCTTTTGCCTAATGTCTACGATTTTCTGAACATGTACCAAAAAGGTTACGTCTAAAGGAAACAAATTCTTTAAACAGTGCCATCGCCAGGCATCTTCTCGACACGGGTCATGAGGTGGACGTTGCAAGATCGTTCAAAATTATCAATAGGCAAAAGAGCTCAATTAGTGTATGTGTATATTGATCGATTGATTTTTGTTTAAAATGAACTCTGTGCAAGTATGTTAAAATTGTTTTTGTAGAAATATTTAATAATATCTTTGCCCTGTAAGCAGCTGACGAGTAGGCAACGAAATAAAAGATGGTACCACTTTATTCTGCTAAAACTGTAGTTCTTGTTTTGTTCAAATTCATTAAGAGGAATACATGTGTGAAATTAGTGATCTGCTTCTTTTTCTAATTAGGGTAAAATCCTGATACAATTCTACATTTATCGTAAGAAACAAGGCACATATACTTATGTAGCTTAAGTAAGGTTACATAGATCCTTGCTCAAGTTCGAGGGAAAGATATTGCACTGCCTTAACTTTACTGAAGCTTATTATTCCACCACCTATGATAATTCCCAATAAATTATTAAGAGGGGACTGTAAATCTCAATAACCCCATGAGCTGTACTGGATGGAAAGAGTGTTCCCACAGGTTGTACTATACCATAAAGATCGGTTTGTCTTGTTAACTACATGTATCATTGTAAAGTACAGACGAAACAGGAAAATGATGTAACCTGAGGTGGATTTCAAGTACAAGGCCGTAATGCACACTAATCAATCGAGGGGATATTGATTCCATTAAACGAATTGAGCCTCAGCACGCATGTTGAGAAACCCATAACATCTACAAGACGGAATACTAAACAACTGCATCTTTTAATTCAATTTTGATTTTGTCATTGACTGACTGAACCGAAATGTTCGGCCTCAGCTAACATGTAGGCTCTTAGTACAGACACTTCAACGATTTCTGATGATTAACTTGAAGTAACCGGGTGAATGATCTGGTGAATAACGCTCTGGTGTTTGAAACAATGGGTGCTAAGTTCCAGTCTCAGTGGGAACACTATGATTCACTGGGGAGTGCATGAACATCCAGATGACGAGTCGCAAATAGAACGAAATGCGCATCCTGGACTCCATTGCTAGTCACTATTCAATAAATTAATTGCAGGTTCGAACCCCGATGGGTGCGTACTGCTGAAGAGTCCCAAACTAGGACGAAAGAGCTATCCAGTACTCCCAGGTTTTCCAGTGGTTCTATAACCAATGTCAGCTCATGATGAAATCCCTTAACCAAATTGCAGGTTTTATTGAGACATGAAACTGTTTGCATTACTTTTAAAAAAAATGAGATCTGGAAATTTGCGAATGATTGATAGATTAAAGATACCCGATAGAAATTTTACAGAGGCTGAGTTTAGTGAACAAAATATATTCTTTTCGATAACTTCTCCTTCATTAGGTTCTACAGTTATATGACTACGATAATTGAAGAATTATTGTTATTAACAACTTTAATGTGTTCTTTTTAAATAACATGCAATCAATAAGACGAATAGATTACAGTTCAAAAGCATCTGAAATTGACAATGTGCATAATAACGTAATATTACACTGAAAATCACATAAATTACGTAAACAATAATACACAAAATAATTGAGCAAAGAATATCCTTCTCGATAAATTCCTCTTCTGGCTCTACAATTATATATATGTTTATATATAGAGAGTATTCTAGATCAGTAGTCAATAACAATACTAGTGTTTTTAAATAATATCGATTTGTAAAGTAAGATCAATGCAATTACAGTTCATTAAAGATGCTTAAATTATAATAATAATAATTATTATTATTATTATAATAAAGATATAGTAGCAAATAGAATATCAACTAAAATTAGGAAAATTCCACAAAAATCCAGGATCATTCAAACCTAGATGGCCAAGGTAAGGATAATGTCTGAACTAACTTCATTTGGATGCACAAATTGGGCTTGTTAATATGGATCCCCACAGCCTCAGCAATATTTAGTAGTTGAACTCTTAAGGCGAAATTGAGATTTGTTGGTATGCGGTAAATGACCCTGAAAGCATGGTTAACGCCAATTTTGTGTTCTGTATCTACAAGATGAGATAGAATAGCGCTGCCAATAGATTTCGTTTAACGTTAACCATGCTTTCAGGGTCATTTACCGCATACCAACAAATCTCAATTTCGCCTTAAGAGTTCAACTACAGTGGTTAGGACTCTAGCCGACCATGCACATGGTCCGGGGTTCGATCCCCTGCCGGCGCACACCCGATATCTATGGTCGGCCTGAATTCGGGCTACCGATATCCATGCTGAAAA